AAACTCTAGTTACTAATATACAATAATAATGATATTATTATTGGCAAAATTCACAGATATTTTAAAAATGACAATCAAATCTCTATTACATACTGAAAAACAAATATTAATACAGAACTCTCTAGTCACTACTCCCTTTCATCAATTCAATACTTAGCTTATACAGGTTGCCACCTCAACTCTCATAAAGTTGCAAATTGCTGCACAATTAATGTATCATCAATAATTTCTATCCAATTACTTAAAAGAGTTTTTTCTAATACTCTCAATTTCAACGCAAACTATATTGATCTGATTCATTCAACTGCAATTAAACATCTATTATTTCTACCTTCTGTCTCTACTAACTATATTTCTGACTCTCTTACATTAGAAATTTTTGAGCAAGAGGAAGCTACACATATACTTGAACAATATTCTCTTACCAATACAGCACAAAATATATTTAACTTCTATACTGATGGCTCTGTAATTGACATTGCTACAGACCAATGTACAATGGGTATTGGATAGGTACAAGTTAATGATTACAATTAAATAATTCACAAATTATTAGCTAAAATCAATTACTGGTCATCTTCTTACAAATCTAAACTAATGTCAATTCTTTTAGCTATTTCAATTATCCTTCGCAATTCAATAATCAATATCTTTACTAATTCTCAGTCTATAATTACTAAATATTCAAAAATATTTACTACTCTTTCAAACCTTAACAAGCTTTTCAAATTTAGCTCATGGTCTATATGGCACACTCTGCTTAATATTATAAAATCTTATAATTACCAGATTAACTTTTACAAAGTACAAGCCTACTCTGATAATAACCTTAATAATTTAGCTGACTTATTAGCAAAACAACATAATTCATCACCTATATTATACTTTAATTATACAAGCATCTATAATCCTTATTATATAATTTTTTGGAATTACATTTTATCAAACATCCAACTAGAAGCCTTACCAAAAATATCTGCAAAGCCTATATTCTAGCAATATGGTTTTCTCAAAAATGTAACATGAAATAGGAAGCCTTGGTCTCTCAAATTGATTGAAGATCAACTTGGTTATTTTTTAACTATAACCAAAAACTAATACATAATATCACTAACTTTAAACTCAATCATCATAAATCTTTCAAAATTAAAATCTTATTAAATAAACTCCCTATCTACTTTTATTTTCACAAAACTTATCTATACACTTTTTACAATATTAATTGTTTCAACTGCAATCTTGCTGATTCCCCAACCCATTGGCATACATGCTCAAACTCATTACTTATCTCCAATATTATTCAAACTAGTATATCTAAATACATTAATTATATAGACCTTGATTTATCAACAAACCAACAAGAAGAACTTATTTATAAAATCAGTAACAACTATGCCTTTTATCCTATATCTCTTCAAATCAATCAACACTATCTTGATATCACACTCAAAGAACTTATCTCTAAATCTCTAATTAAGATTGTACAAAACTTTAATATCCTATACAAACTAATCTCATAAACAATTATTACTATTCTGCTTAAAATTAATAAACTTTTTTATAAACAAATATGGAAACCATATTGTATAAACTTTGCTAACTGAAAATAACAACAAGAACTTAAACTACCTTATGCCAAACCCTTATTTTAATCAAATCAAAATAACAAAAAAAACTTTAATTGCAAAAATTATACTTATTCTTGTTTATGTAGACTATCTGACTAACTACACTCCAACTCTAATACCTGTCTACATACTGACTATGTTATTTGTAAAATCAATATTTGGATTATTCTTTGGATCAAATACAATATTTCTTATAATTATATTTTAAACTTACAAATTTAGATGAGTCTTGACTACTCTAGTAGGTTTAGGTCACAAATAAATATATCTAAGCTTTTATTCTTGAATGTAGTTTTTCTTTTATTTGTACTTAGAGTAGCTATATAGTTATCAGTTTAATAGTTTAGTCCTAACTACAAGTGTTGGTTTTAGTCATAACATTTATATAGAAAATTACTTTTTGTATATAGCAGTTCCACATAACTACTAAATTTTAAATTACTAATAAAAATATGAGTAAGGCCTCACCTTAATACCATAAAAAAAGCAAAAGTATAAAACAGATTTTTAAGATTTTAATAATATATCGTAAAATTATTAAATTTGGATTAAAATTCATTAAGATAGATTTATTTAAAGATTTGGTATTATACAGTAAATTTATTATAAAAATTATATGATAATCATAAGATAATTAATCAATTAGAACATTACCACTAAGAATATGAATGTACCACCAAGATTTTTATGATATATTCAAGTATAGTTTTTTTAAAATACAGTCATCTCTCATTAATATCAACCTTGTTAATATTAACCTAGACTATAAATCAAATTTTTCTAAATTTTTATATATTAAAATTTCTTCATATATATTAACTTTAATATAATTCCTTATTAATATCACTATCAACATGAATTTAAACCAATTCAAATAGGTTGATATTAATAAGAGATGACTATAATATATATAATAATTTTTATTATAATAAATAAATTATTTTAATTTATATATTCTAAAAATTTAATAAAATTTGGTATGTTTTTAAAAAATTTTATTAGTACTATATTTTACTTGCTACATAACTCTAAATTTACTTTGCAAATTATATAACAAATGATCAACATGTACTTTATCCTTAAAGGTTATAAGGATTACTAAATAGTTCAAAGTTTTTAAAATCTAAAAATTAATTTTATTGAAGTAAAAAGATTAGTTTTTTTATATTTTTTCATTATATTAGTTTTTATAATAAGAATTTACAAAATTATTCTAATTACTAAAGATACTAATTTCACTAAATTTACAAAATTTATTTCATAAAATGAATCTACTTAATTTAATAAATTTGATAAATTCAATAAATCCAATTTATTGAATTTTACTATTTTGACAAGAATTTTCTTTTTCTTCCTTTTTTGAACTTTGTTCTATACAAATACTGATACTAAATAAATAAACCTTTTCTTTTACTCCAAGAAGAATATGATTACAAAAATGATAACAAATAATCAAGAAAAATAAAAAATAACAGTAATGTTAGAATAACAAAAAATAAAATATAATTAGCTGAAAACTATTTACAATATACTTCATTAAACATAACTGTAAACTATACTTTTTATTTGACTTCTGTGAAACTCTGTTCCTGGTTATCTTAAAGTTAATTGTAGTAATAAGCATGTTGTAATGAAGTATTGTGGTAGACATATAATTCAGACTAAAAAGGTCAAGAATAAATAAGCAGAACTAGAGATTAATAATTATATGAAAGATATTAAATTAAAAAATTAGTGCTGAAAGGTTTTATTTCTCTACAGCTCATGTTTTATTAAATCTGATTTGACAAAAATTAAACAATTGTAAAACTGATCACTTGGCAGACGATAACGATAAATATAGACTTCTAATTTGAGACAAGAGTCCTAAGGTAAGGTTAAGGGCCCAAAAATCAAGTCCTTATACCGATGGGTAAGGTTACCTGACCATGCGAGAGTCTAAAAATAATCATGAAAGAAAAATTGATAACTGTAAGTGCTCTTACACAGATTGTATTAACGAATTTAAATAGTAAGTATTTATAAATTATAATAAATAATGTTATATTCATGGATTAAGTTAACGAATAAATAGTAAATGGCCATGAATCTGAACTGCTTATTTCAAATTGTAAAATTAATAAATGTCCTTTATATTTCCATACTAAATTAATACGAAAAAAATGGAATCAAATAGAAATATTCATGAATTTGAATATCTTAGTTTATAGATGTATGGATGTTCTTTAATTTCACAAACCAAACGATTATAAATAAAATAAACAGCAAATAACTTAATTTAAATATTTAGATCAAAAATCTTCTTTACTATATACGCACATTCTAGAATAAATAATAAATATGAATTTAAATAGTTTTAATATTTAGATTAATAAATGTTCTTTATACTCATAAATTAGGATTAAATTAATAAAAATATTCTTATTAATTTAAGGCTAAAATATTTGGTTAAGATATTTTTAGTAGATATTTGATCCGGGTCATCAGGGTAGCAATGGGATACAGTATAACCTATCACATAAATGATTGGATAAAATTTTATAAAATATCATCATCTGTTGATAGCGATTGTATCAGGTTGTTTTGTTCCCATGCCTTATAATAGTGCCTGGCATTTGCGCTCATGCCCATAAAAATGCCCGGCATTTGTGCCAATGCTCATAATAGTTTGTACCTATAGGTATGGGTACGTATAGTTGGTGGTAGAATTAATTTTGAACATTATTGAATTACGGCACGTGCCGTATTTTTGCTGTAATTGCCGTGATTATAAATACGGAACCAAAATTAAGCATACCAACCAAAAGCCTGGATCGGAATTCATCGGAAAAAGTAATACCGAAACGTTCCGATGTATACCGACCCAGAATTTTGGTCGATTTTCAGAATTTTGACTCCGCCACATAATTACTGCTATGCCGTAATTAAATCTACCATATGGTTCAGTAATCTTACCACCAACTATAGGTATGGGCACTATATGAAGCGTTAGTGTCCGGCCTGGTGCCAATATGCCCGGCGTTCCCACTAACAGACCCCTAGTTGCATGTTTATCTATATTTCGTATTTTCTATATGATTTTTTTTTTTGTAGGACAGTCCTAATATTTTTACAATCTTCACATTCTTTTGGGAAAATGATCGAACAAATATAGAGATTTTATCACTATATCTTGTCAAAGAGCATAAATGCACTACAATACCCAATCTTCCTTGAGTTTATTAATATCATTGCTAAAATTTACAAAAAATATAGATTCTTTTATATATGAATAAAATGATGCACTTGTTCTATTCTTTTTTCAAAGAGTAAGAATATTACAAGAATTTAAGATATAAGCAACCAGGGGGGAAAAACATATAAGCAATTAAACTAGATGATAGCCTTGCATTCATCTATCCAGTCTGAAACATTATAAATTATGTCATTCGTCTTCTGTAATTCAGTTTCTAGCCATTCAATGTCTGCTTCTTTATGTTGTGCTGCATTTTCAGTCGTTGACAACGATTCCAGGGCACCCTTAACATCCCCGTAATGCGTGGACCTAGAAAAAAGAAGAAATTAAAGTTTTACAGATAAAAAGAATTCATCGTTATTGCTAAGCTAGTACTACATAACATACTTTAGATCATCTTCCAGGTTTATGCAAGACTCTAAAGTTTCATCATCAGAAGTTTTACTCTGAATTATTTTTTTGAATTTATTCTTTATTATATCCATTTCATTTTGCATTTTATCAAGCTTCACGATTGAATCAACTGCATAACCTTTCAATAGCATAATATATTTGCGTACAACCTTTTTTCCTTTTAGTTTTATAGCTGTTTCCCAGTGCGATAAATCATTGCAAAACTTAGTTATATCAATGTAAACCTTATGGTAAATCTTATCTAAAGTCTTATTTCTAGGATATTTTCGACTTCGATTAAGTATTGAACGATACCATTTTTGTATTTTTTTTGCTTTGTCGTCAGAATCAGGGGAATCAATAATTTTTTGAAACCAAGCTTGAATTTCTGCTGCCGACTCTGGGTTGTCTTCAGAGAATTCATTTTGTTCATCTTTCTTAACTTCATTACAACTAAAAGAAGCTTCCACAGCAGCCTTTCCTTCAATAGCTATTGGTGATACAATTTTCCAAAGAGAAGACCTGAATTCTTCACCAGAATTATATTTGAGTATCTTAGCTCCATGCTTTTCTAGATCAGCGAATCTAGATATGCCCTCCCTCTTATAGTATACCACGACTAAAGAATCGCAATCTGTTTCACTAAGGTCGTTAATTAGAATTTTTGCAAGTTGTAAATTTTGGCGTTCTTTCAGATATTTCTTGATCTTTTCAGAGACCCTTTCTGAGTGATTGGAAATACTATGACTAAGTTTTTTAAAAAGCTCGCCAATCTTGAATGTGAAAACATATTCATTCCAACCAATAAGGATTAGTAATCTTAATAGTCGGAGGATGCTTGGTGAATGATAATTTTTAGTGAAATCCAACTTATAAAGAAGCTGCTCGAATAAATCAATAGAATCTCTGAGCGCATTTTGATAGCCACTTGCGCTATATACATTGCGATTATTTTGACTTGGAAGGAGTGGTCTCATATTAAATGCATAGAAATAATTGACCAAATAACTTCGAGGAAGGCAAAAATCACAAGTTTTGGGATTAGCCGTGAAAATTAGTGCCGTCATGAATTCAATAAGAGACGTAAAATCATCAAGTGATCCAGGTGTTTTCATTAGGTAAACATGATGGATATGGTCTATCGCATAGCGAATAAATACGATTGCATGATAAATTGCAGATACCACATTATTGGAATGCAAATCGAAGAAAAACCAAGAAAGATGCAGCCCTACTGAAACATCATAACGACGTTGTTGGTCGTATTCGAAACCTATCAATGGATCATAGAATGAATTATGGTCATAGGGTCCTTTCATATTACAGCGGAGTCCTTTTAACTCAAAATATAATTTTTCGATACTCAATTTATCACGCAACTGTTGAAATACAAACATGCATTTTAACATAACTCCAAAGTCTCTGCCATTTTTGAACACTCCAACTTTTGTGCCATTTTTGAACTTATATTTCAACCATACTTTATGAGCGAGATTAATGAAACCACCATATATGCTATTTAGATTGTTTCGAATCACTAAATACGATATCTCAGGACAACTTGTTTGCGGAGACTGATAGCGGAAAAGGTGATCAACTAATTTTTCAGCCCAGTATCTTTGACGACTACGGACACTAATACTTTGGTCTTCTTTAAGCAAACGACGATGATATAATGTGAGCAATTTTCTCATTACGCTATACTGAAGACATATAAGCAACAGATGATTGTACAAAAATGTTGGTGTTGGTTTTATGTGGCTATCTTGGCATTTGTGATGCTTATACGCAGCTGCAAAACATTTTCCTGAGGATGCAAATTCGTAACAAATTTTCGAATCTATGTCAGGAATCGCACGACCCGCATGATCTGCATCTTCAAGAAGCTCAAAAATATACGAGGCAAGGAATTGTGAAATTGCTTGATGCACGTCGTTTATGTCATAAATGTGCTGATCATTCATTACTTCTGCCGAACTTCCTACGTTATTTTTGTAATGCGTTTCATCTTTGCTTCTGTAATGAGCTCCATTAATGAAATCAAGAAGGGGACTATCAGATGGAATTTTTCGCTTCGACTTGCGGTCGTCTACCTCACCTATAAGAAAAAAGGCCTCCATACCCTTGCAGATTTTCTCAATGTTGGTGGTATTGTTATTAGGCGGGGCTATAAAGAGAAAGGCTAACTCACATAGCCTTAAAAGGTGCTGCAATCTTTCATTCCAGTACACAATTTGAATTTTTGCTTTTGGTGTCTGAAGCCATATATTTATTGCACGAAACTCGGAGACGGTTGCCTTATATTTCTGAAAAGCTTGTATGCACTTGCTGATTCTATTGAGATCATTATTTAAATATGCTGAATATAGTTGGATCTCTTCTTCGAGTATTTTAAATTCCTTAGATTCCTTTAATGCCTTGGACGATTTTGATTTCATTATATCATTTGCTTGGCGAAGGAATTTGCATAGTTCCTCTGAAGTATTCAAGTTCATACATTTCATATTTTTAAGTATTTTCATTCTGCATGGATACAAAACGCAAACTAACGATTCAATAATATCCTTGTTATTAGCAGAGCGATTAAACATAAGGGCAGCTTTTTCAAGATCTCCGCGCGAGCGTAGAAATTCGCCGGCCGCACGAAACTGTTTATTTTTCTCGTAAACTTTCAAGAGTTCTTCTGGAGCGTGGTCTGCCAGAAGCTCTATTCGTTCTTCTTGCGATGGGATAATATGAAGAGCTTTTTCGCACATTTCCTTATCATTTCCTCGACGATAATGGATGTTAACTAAACGACTAATGCGACGAAACGTCTTATCATCAATCTTTTGCCTATATCTTAATGTTTTAAATAATTTAAATGTCAGTTATATTTATTTTAATGGAATTTGAATTTTATTTACATAAAAACACGTTTTTAAAACTTTGCGACCGGGGACGCAAAGTACTTATGATGTGCAGCATCTTTAATTATCTTAGTTGTATTTACCTTTGCATCAAGTCTACTACAGTATTATAATATCCACCATTTTTATAGGCAGTAACTGCGTCTGCGTATTTTTTGGCTTTTTCGTAGCATTCACCGGCTTTCTGCCATTCCTTACATTTGACGTAACATTCTGCAGCAGACTCAAAGATATCCCATTGGTAGTATATATCGCCAGCTTCTTTGTGCATTTCAATATCCTGGAATTTATCTCAAATTTATAGTCTCGGAAATGCTTATCAGACAATAAACGTATTAAATACTAAAGAAGGCACTTTACCTGATAGCAAGCTGCTGCTTGAATTGGTCGAGAACATTTTTTGAAACTATTTGCAGCTTCAATAAAATTCAACTTTACAGTATTATTGTCAGAATCGAGTATAGAGTCCCTAGCAACTTGTCTAAGAAGGTATGCATTTGCAAGTTTACGCCCTTCTTCATTTTCACTTTTTTCGAAACAGAAAATAGCCTAAAGACAATATATTAAATTCCTTCAATCAGATTAGTTTATTTTAGTGTTATAAATATTAAAAAAAAGAATCTAACCTGCTCATATTGTCTCCGTTCGAAAAAGTGCTTTCCCATTTCATTCCACTCATGCAGATTACTTTTCTTAGCCAAATTAGGTAAAGGATCTCCATCATTTTTCGTTCTGACTAGTCCGTAATGGTTCCAGTATTTCCAGATTGGTTCGCCCAAATCAGGGTTTCTATCAAATATCCAAATGTGTTCCCGTGCTCTGGTCACGGCCACATAAAGATGTTTTAACTCTGAAGAAAGTATATAATGCTTTTCATATGATAAAGTTTGCATGCCTCCAGAATATCCTTCTATAGCAGACAAAATTAAACGCCACTGAAAATAATGATACAACTTAAGTGCTAAGTATATGATGACTCAAAACAAATATCATTGAATCATACCTTTTGACCTGCTGGCGAATCCGTAAAAAAATCATACAAAAGAACGTCATTAAATTCCATGCCTTTTGCCTCAAAAATAGTCAAAATTAAACCAACTTTTCCAATAGATTCCTCTAATCGTTTTTTGGCTTCCTCATTACGTACGATAATGACTTGATTTGCACCAAATTCAATGATATCACCTGGTTTCTCACTAACAGAGAAACATTTAAACACAGAAGTTTTGTCTTGGAATCCCTTAAAAATTAAGGGCCGTGGGCCACCAACTTCACCGCATTCACGTGGCAACTTGTCAATAGAATCGGGGAAAAAGTGCTGAATAAGGTCAATAACAGATGAGGCAATTCCAAGGATCCCATTGTGAGAACGATAGTTTGTATTTAGTTCGAATCGTTTTGGTTTTAAGGAACCATTCCAATTTGGATTATTTTGAGATCGATCGAGTTCCCACTCATACATTAAGGAAAATACACCTATATTATTGTTATTAAGTTTAGAAAATAAAATGATACATTATCATACTTTAAATACACGACAAATTTACTTTGAAAGCGAAAAGAGGAGCCTCGAGCAATGCATTGTGCAGTATCTCCGGCCAAGAAAATGCCATCAGCTCGGTTAAACAGCTTAAAAATAAGCGAAAAATCAACAATTTGGTTATCTTGGCATTCATCTATATAAACTTCATGGATATGTGGGCCACCAAGTGCCTTCTTTTTAACGCAACGCAAGATAGCTCGTGTCCTATAATAAATAAATCTTTAAATTTTACAAAAAACAATTTAAGAATTTAAGAGTTATGTATCAATAAGACTTACCGATCTATTGAATCATAGTCATAATTAAGTGTCTTCATTCTTTCATATCGTTCAAACAGATTATAAATTTCGTCACGGTCGTAAAATATAGGATATCTTTTAGTATTAATGGACAAGTATTCTTCTCTTGATAAATGGCCATCTTTAGGATTCGACCCCTTAAAAAAAAAAAGTTAGAATGCTAGATAATTACTTTATATACAAATATTGACTACATACTTTGATTATAGAGAATTCTGCGTAAACCAGTGCAGGATCTAATTTTCGTCTATAATAATCACTGAAACGATCCCAATACTTTTTCACGAAAAGGTCAAAGGTTATAAAATGAGCCCATGACTTTTCAGATGTATCTACCAAAGTGGATTTAGGGTTGTATTCTTCATCCTCGTCAATATTATTTGTATTAAATTCTTGTTTTGTCTTCCATAACTTATTAACATCAATTTCATAAGTTCCTTCAAGCATTTGAGAAAACTTTTCATGAGTTATGAACAATGGGAAATGTTCATCTGTTAGCTGAGGAAATGAGTTTGGAATGTTGCCTAAAGCTTTCATCTCATCATCCTCCTCGAGCATTGAATTATCAGACTGGTTGTTATTGATGCTTTCCTCTTCTTTCTTTTTTGTATATTCGTAATATTGAGTAAATGACATCTTTTTCTCCGCGAGAATAGCAGACTCTCGTAATCGATCAAAATATTGTTTAACACGGGCACACAGAGTAGGACTCACGGTAATGAATATCTGTCTTTTGTTAAAAATATTCTCTTCTATAACATTGGTGTTTAAGGACGGATTCTTATAGAGCTTTTGACTAGATTTCATAAGATATGAAGCAATCTGTCGAAACACAATACAAGTAGTCTTTCCAGTTCCTATATAACAAATATGTAAACAAAATAAAATGATACATGTTTTTTTTAGTCATAATATACCCGAAAATTAATGACAAAATAAATGAGTAAATATTAAGCAAGGACCAAAATTATTATCTCTATCAAAATGAAAGTGGCTATAACTATATAATACAATTAACCAAATTTTTAAGATACCTAATGGTAAAAAACTATTTGTCCAAGCACGTTAAAGTAACTTATAACAAACATTAAGTTATTGACTTCACAGAGTTAAACTAGATGTGAGCACAAACTAAAAACTAACCAGATCTTCCAATGATAATAGCTGATGTAGGATGTCTGATGATTTCATATTCATCTTCAGATACTTGAAAAGTGAAACCTGAACCGCCAAGAACGATCGATTTGAATAAATTCTAAACAAGAAATTATAGTATTTAGTAACCTTCATGCATAATAAATCCAAACTATGAATATTATTACTTTACCTTTGATAAAGGAATAAACTTGTTCGTAACAAGCATTTGGTGTACCTTTATTAATCTTTCATCATCAACTTGATGGTCATGTAATCTATCATTAGTTGATTTTAATTTTTCACTTCCGAAAGTTTTTGGCAAAATCACGCCATCTTGATTTTTATTTGTCTTGCATAGTTGTATGTGCTCCATGGTATAAACTTGGTGAACGATTCTAAGGTTTTCTAACATCTCGCGGATTTGTTCTTGACTTGTAGTGACTGTCCATATTTTCACCACTTGTGCAAGCGAACAACTGCGTGAAGAAAAGCGGCAGTCAACTTGCCAAAGGATTTTCAACCCCTTGTGATCTGGAAGCTCCATTTCATAGACATCTACAGAACTACAATCAGCAACTTTATTTCGGAGCTCATACTGATCCCATTTTCCTGAAGATATATGCCCAAATTTTTTCATGACCGCCTTAATCATTTGAGGAGATTCTAAATTTCGCATATCATTTATTGCATCTTCACTAAGCAAGACGTCCCAATCTCCCAATTTATCATTGTCGCTAAATTCAAATGGTAGCCGACGTTCTGATAGTATTGAATTATAATCTATATCTGCAGACCCATTTTCATTCGCAAGAGAAGAATATTTTTCCGGGGAGAAATAAACAAGAGCTTGTCTGTGGCAACTTTCACATGGTAAAAATTCGATTAACACCTAAGAAAAATTATCGATTAGTTGTATGATATCAGTGATAAACATCTATAACTATGTTAGGCTTACCTTGAATAAATTTATTTTTCGTTCTTCAAGGACTCGTAAAAAGCTAATTAACTCTGATAGCTTTCTAGGAGCTTCCATCCCCAAGATGTCAAAATTTTGTTTATCTTGAATTGAAAGAGATAAGTTTTTAGTTGTCATCACTGACTTGAAGGTGTTATATCCTTCATCCAAATTCCGAATTTCAGGATCACTTTTTTCAAGTTTAATCATGTCTTGTAGTTTTGGTAAAAAAGAATTTTTTTTAGCATCAAATAGAGCGTCACGTTCTGCATTTTGATATCTTGTTAGAGTTTTCAGCAATGCCGTGCAGGCTTTATATTCAGAAAGTTTTTCTGGTAATTGTGATGTGTCGTTATTGTGATCTGAACAATTCTCTACGAGAAATGTAACCATATCCACTGCTTTTATTGCCTTATCACGATCGATTATTTTTATCATGTTGAAGCTAAACAAAATTCTCTTTATGCAGTGGCGACCCGATTTGTCTGAAATCCAAATGCCAAATACACCATGTGTATCCAAAATCTCATCGAAGACGCGTTTAGTCGTCTGAATTGCCGTCTTATTATTTGAAACCTTCCAAAGGAGTTCGACGCAGAGATGAAAGAGTTCTCTGAACTCTGCATTATCTGAATAGTTTAAATTTTCTATCATGACAATAGTAATCAGCATCGAAGTAAAATCTGAAAGCATGCTATTACATGAATAATGCTCATAAAGATAGGAAAGGTAAGTGTTTAAGGTTGGTATGTAGATGTCAGGATATTGGCATAAGAACTCTAAAAGTTCGTCGAAAAATTCCTTAAGTTCTTGAGATGATGCGTTAAGGCAGCGTGTTACAAGAAAATCTTGTGCCTCTTTGTCATTACTCTCAGAACCAGTCAAACCTTCAAAAAGTTCAATGAGCAGTTTATTGTTGGCATTAGATACATGATTTAATAACATTCTCTTATCGTTCTTAGAAATAATTTTCTTGACTGAATGATACAAAATTTTATAAGAATCGTTAAAAAAAGAGAATATTTTATTCTGTTATTTCCTGTGGGAAATAATTTTTGTATTTGATATTAATGATAGTCACGCGATGATCTCATTTTAGAAGAATGCTGAATGAAGCCAGTCACACTGTAAGATACCAAACTCTTTGTTATCAATCAATAATTCCTATTAAAGTAATATATTAACGTGATAAATTCGATATTTAAAAAGCATTATTCCGGTTATTTTCGCACTTTCGTACTCTATTTTTATTAAATTAAAAGATAGCATGATATATAATTATATTAAATCTTCTCGATTTATATTCGATGTGCATTCAAAATTGTAGCTATTCGCTAATCTAATTGACTCCTTGTCATATTTTCAGTAGGGATAATGATAATTGATAGTCAACTAGCGATGTGGCTTTTAACTGTCACATTTCTACTTAACTCTATATTATTTATACAGTGCGAAACATGTTATTGTTGACAGAATATGGTTACAGTAATAACCCAATATGCATATGTTATTGTTTACAAAAATGGAAATATCCAAAAAATTAGCCAATAAAATTCTTATAGCTAACTTTTATCATTGAATAATAAATAACTGTGTGACGTTACCATACCAAACCAGGAACTGGTGAACACAATAGCCAGATTTAGAAATGCGAAATGAAAGTTGTTAGACAACTTGCAAATACTCTAGTCGCATCGGTATTTGTTTGTGGCAAAAATTAGAAATGAATAACATGGTAATTAGTGATTATTATTTTATCAGATCGCAAAGAGATTACTTTTTCTATATCAAAAATGGTGATAGTGTCGATGATTTCGGTTGTAATTTTTTCTTCCTGATATTGATATATAGGTAATGTGATGAGATGATATGTGAAAGTTAATATTAGGTGTTATGCCACCGAATTTTGCGAAATTAGACTCGGGATTTCGTACTTTTACGCAACTTAACTCAAATTATATATTACGTGGTCTCATCACACCCATTTCTGGTACAATAATGGTTGAATATATTGATTAGTCTTGACGTACATCCGTCTATTACTGCTATTGTAGCCTTGAATAGAAATTACAGTAAAACCTCCATAAGTGCACGCCCTTGGGACCGAACTTTAATGACGTGCACTTAGAGAATAATAAGAAAAGGTGCATTTATAGAGGTCATGTATACATTTGGGCCCAAATTTAAGCGTGCATTTAGAGAGGGGTGTGCATTTATAGAGGGTGCACTTATGGAGGTTTTATTAATTTTGAAAAATAGTACTAACCATCAAAAGGGGCTATTGGTCGTCGAGCATTGTATGATCACAACTAGAGATGTGCAAATGCATGTTTTTTTAGCTCTGCATTGCATAATGCAACATAATGCAGCATGCGACATTATGCAATTATGCATTTTGATAAAAATTTTAATTTTTTTTGTTAGTTCTAATTTGCATATACAAGTATTATTATTAATTAAACAAGTTGTATTAACATTTGTTTAATATGTTTTACAGCTTGTATAAATAATAAAAAGATTTTATATTTAATCATAAAATACTATTACTATAGTTAGTAATAAAATTACTAAAATATAATATTATAATATTTAACTATTTTAACTATTCTAAATTTAATAATTTAAAGATATCTATTTTTAAAATGTATATTTAAAAATTAAATTATTTATTACTTTACTAACCTAGTTACTGTTATTTTATGTTTGATTCTTTGTTTTTATATTTATATTTATCATAAATTAGACATAACTAGTTTTTATACATTCTTAAATATTAAATACAATTTATTTTTAAAATTTATAAATTGCTTTATAATAGTTAGATTTAAATTAAATTGATTTTATATTTAATAATAAATTTTCTTATCATTACTCTATATTTTCAATGTATACAAATAACTTTACAATATGATTTAATAATTAAATTAATTTTTTTATTAAATAAATTAAAAATCATTACATAATTATATAATAATATTTATTTAAATAAACAACTATAATTTTATATAAGCTATATAATTTTATATAGTTTAATATTATATTTTTTAATGCTTTTATTAAAAATAAATAGCTGCATAATATACTTATACTAAAAACTAAAAATAAAAATAAATATAATAGTTAATAAATAATCCAAATAATATACAAATAAGACCTGATATAATATCTTATAAAGTATTTAATATATATTATATACATTAACTAATTAAACAAATATTTACAAAACATTTTGTAATAACTAATTAGACTATCTAATTATTTAAAAAAAATTTTAATCTGTAATTATCATTTTATTAACCTAATAAAAATTTTATAAAAAAAATAAAAATACTAAATATCAGATAAATATGCAAATTAATTTGCATTAGGTTAATAATTTTTATATTTGAACTTTTTGTTATTATTATTATTAATTATTATAACTAACATTTTACTTATATTACACTTTTTAAAAATTGTATATAATATAAAATATAATATTTTATTAATTTTTTATTGAGTTAAAATTATATAATAATTTCTATGTGCATTTTTAAATTTTAAAATGATTACATTATATTATGCGACATTATGTTTTGCATAATGTGATATGCATAATGCAGAATGCCCATCTCTAGTAGCTGTGCTATAAAAGTTAATAATAAATCAAAAGCATAGCCTATACTAAATTTGATTTCTAAATGGCTATGATTTTTTTATATGTTTATTTTGTCAAGAGGCATCAGGGAAGAGGGGAGTGATGTTAACTGAAGAATCAACTTCGAATGGCCTAATGGAGGGTGTGGCAATCTAGTAAAGTGGTCAGGTTGTCAACCCTCCAAATGGTAGGTTGGGTGTTCAAATCCTATCAATAGTGAAAAATTTGGATAATTATCTATGTAATATTCATATTATAGAAACTGTTACTAATGATTAGGTTAGGATATCTGTAATGGCAGTTGCACTGGCATGACTGGCAGGTTATAGGGCATCTGTGCAATTTTGAAGTTACACAAAGGAATGCAAACTGACAGATTGGTGCAAACACTAAATAAATCCTTGTGGCCATGTAAATCTGTTAAAATTTGGTAATAAGAAGTTTATTTAGGAAGACCCAAGTAGAAAAGTAGCTGAATCTTCAATAGCCTTACTGTAAAGACTAGTTTAAAGAAACAGATACCAAGGTTTAGTACCTAATCATAGTAGCTAGATAGGCAAGAATCTCTGAGTTGGAAGTCTCAAAGGGTACTACCAACCAAACTGTTGAAACAAACTGAAGAAAAAGGATATCAGGCTAACCTATATATCAATAAACTGGTTGTAGTCCTATACAGGCTATCTGGATTAAAAGTTTGGTAAAAAAGCAGAGAAAAAGGCAGAGGTATAATAAAGTACTAGGGTTATGCTGTAAAGTAGATGCTAGGGTCTAAGTAAACTCTACAAGAGCATAGTAGTTTAATGATTAGTCCTGACTACAAGTGTTGGTTCTGCTATAGCAATATTTAGATCAGCTATAAAAATAGGTACAGAAGGTGCTAAGGGGTTAACCTCAAGGATAAATTAGTCCTAAGGTTGAGATGATGATCTAGGCATTTGGATATAACCCAGTAATATTAACACAGATTACAGGTTCAGACAGTTTAAAAGAGAACACCCAAGCAGAAGTGTTAGATATAGCAATTAGTAGAGAACCTTCAGGCAGACTCCTTAAATAGGTAATATAGAAAAGTTAACATATAACTAATTGTACACTCTCTTGTAATGGTTCATTAAACACAATACTGATAAGTGATTAATAAAATCAAAAGACCAAAGAGGTCACCTTAATACTAAAAAAAACAAAAAACAACTATAATAGTTTATTATTCTAAGTTCAATAATAAACTTAAATTTTTTCTCTAGAACTTTCCAAATAGTTCAGGATACTTAGAATAGAAAATAATCAAACTAATCAGATTTTGGTAGCTTGTTTTTAGAAAAATAATTATCAATTGTTTTAAAATTTTTTATAATTATTTTTTTTTGCTATAAAACTAATTAATTTTTTATTTAGTTTTCATTAACATCTATACAGTTGATTTTAAAAGATTATTATTCTTTTATTTTCTTTTTTTAACTTTTTTTATTAATGATTATTATACTAATTCATAAAGGAACTTTAGCTTTTTTACTAAATTATTTGAAGTTTCTTTTTTTTCTAGTTTGATTTCTTGGATATTTAGATTAAAGCAAGAAAGGATCATAGATCAATATTTAAAAATGTACAGCTAGCCCTTTTTATTTTTTATATGCACTTCTTCTTTATTTCCTCTATTATAACAAAACTTTTTATTATTTTGTTATTATTTTTTTATTTTATAGAAAAATATTAATGATCTTTTAATATTTTTCATTTTAGTAAAAAAATGTTCTTGGAAAAATATAGTTTTAACATGATCTAATCTTTTGCTTCTTTATCTATTTTTATTTCTACTGCCTCTCATCAAGATCTGTTAACCTATTTTTGTTCTTTACAAGATATGATAGCAGTAGTTTAAAGTTTCTTAGTTCAGTTAGAAAAGAAAACTAAAGAATATACAAGTGGATCTGGTTATCCAAACTGTGTTTATCTTAAAAATAAACTCAATAATATATATGCAGAGTTAAAAAAAAGAAAATCTAAGAAAAAGCTTCTCCAAGAAATAAATAATCTCAAGAAACATGTATATAATTTTAAGTAAGAAAACCTTTAACTAAAGTTTATGAATAATAAAAAAAAGAAAAAAGTAATAATAATACTAGTAATCATAATAATAATAATAATAATACTAATAATAATAGTAATAGTAAAGAAGAAAAAAAAAACCAAATAAAATTTTTTTTCTTTTGTTATATATATATGTATATATATTTTTTGTATAAAATTAATAAAATTTTGTTAAAATGTAAATTATTCATAATTTAAAAATAAAGTTCTAATACTAAAA